GTCTCACCAAGTTGCCTGGACTGGTCTCGAACCTGCAGGCTCAGGCAATCCACTCGCCTCAGCCTCCCAAAGTGCTAGGATTACAGACTGAGCCACCAAACCCAGTCTATTTTTTAAAATTTTATTTGAAAATTCACAGGGCATGGTGGCTTACATTTGTCATTCCAGCACCTTGGGAGGCAGAGGTGAGAGGACTGCCTGAGTTCAGGGGTTCAAGACTCTGACTGTCAACAATGCCATAAACGATAAATAAAAAAATTAGCCAGGTGTGATGGTCTAGTGTCTGTAGTTCCAGCCACTTAAAAGGTTGATATAGAAGGATCTCCTGAGCCCAGCAGGTCAAACCTGCAATGAGCTGTGATCGTGCCATTGCACTCCAGCTGGGATAACAGAGTGTGACTCCGACAAAAAAAAAATCTTGCTGGGCACAGTGGCTCACACCTATAATCTCAGCACTTTGCGAAGCCAAGGTGGGAGGACCACTTGAGCCCAGAAGTTCAAGACCAGCCTGGGTAATATAGTGAGATCTCATCTCTAAAAACAGTTTAAACACAGTTGGGCACAGTGGCTCATGCCTGTAATCTCAGCACTTTGGAAGGCAGAGGTGAGAGGATTACCTGAGCTCAGGGGTTCGAGAACAGCCTGAGCAACATGATGATACCTCATCTCTACAATAAGTCAAAAATTAGCCAGGCATGGTGGTACACACCTATAGTTCCAGCTACTTGGTAGACTGAAGCAGAAGGATCATCTCAGCCAAGCAGGTTGAGACTGCGGTGGCTGTGAGTATGCCATTGCAATCTAGCTTGGGTGACAGACTCCAGCTCAAAAAAAAAAATTAGCCAGGCGGGGTGGCCTGCACCTCCAGCTACCTGTGAGGCTGAGGCAGAAGGATCGCCTGAGCCCAGGAGGTCAAGGCTGCAGTGAGCTGTCATCAAGCCACTGCACTCCAGACAAGGTGACAGAGTGAGACCCTGACAAAAAAAAAAACAATCCCAGCTTAGGCTGTGTCACCAATGCAACTAATTAGATGTACTTTTCTCTCAAGGTCCAGAGACCAATCTAAATATCTACATTGTATCTTCCTCTCCTAGAAAAGCCCGATCTTCCCCGTCCAGAAAACTGGGAGCACAGCAAAGGAAGCATTTTCTCAGAGTCAGGGGTGAGCCATACCTCAGCCACCAGGCAGCCCTGGGGTTCCATGTCCAGTTGCACCTCATGCCTCTCATTGTCCAAGAAATCCTCCAACTTCAGGAATTTGAGGGCACACAGGCCCCGCTGGTCCCTCCAGAACACAGCCAACTCCAGTTCCCGTGCCTACAGGGAGAGGAAAAGGGTTGTCACCTGGGTGGCCTGAAGCCCTGAGCCCTCCTCCTCTAAGCCCTAAGGACCCCCAATATAGCTCACCCTCTCCAGCTCCAAGGTGAAGCTCTGGTCCCAAGCGTTGGGACTGCATGGCTTCCAGGATGTCTGCCCCACTACTGTGTTATCCAGCTTAAGCACAGTGCTGACCTCACCTGAAACAGGGGAAGGGGCTCAGTCAGAAATGCTGGCAGAAAGGGAATCCCTAGTATCTTGTTAACGAAATCCTCTCCTTAGCCAGGCACAGTGGCTCCTGCCTGTCATACCAGCACTTTGGGAGGCTGAGGTGAGTGGATCACCTGAACCCATGGGTTTGAGACCAGCCTGGGAAACAAGGTGAGACCTCATCTCTATAATATATCAAAAAATTAGCCAGGTGTGGTGGCACATGCCTGTAGCTCCAGCTACTTGGAAGACAGAGGTGGAAGAATCACCTGAGTCCAGCAGGTCAATACTATGGTGGCTGTTGAGCATGCCACTGCACTCTAGCCTGGGCAACAGAGTGAGACTATGACTAAAAAAAAGAAAATAAAATAAATCCTCTTATTGCCAGGCACCAGTGGTATGTACCTATAGTTCCAGCTACTTGGGAGGCTGAGAAAGAAGGATTGTTCCAGCCCAGGAGTTCAAGATCAGCCTGGGTGACACAGCAAGACCCCATCTCTAAAAAACTGTAAAAAACAAATCCTCCCCCAAAAACATTCTGCTCTACTATCTTTGCAAAACTTTACAGTTTTGTTAAAGCCTTTAATCTAGTTTATTTTTCTGTATGGTGTGAGGTAGGGATTCATATTCACTTTTCTTCTACATGAAAGTCCCAGCAATATACTCCTAAGAGGTCAGGTGTGGTGACTCATGCCTGCAATCCCTAGCACTTTGGGAGGTCGAGGTGGGAGGACTGCTTGAGGCCAGCAGTTCAAGACCAACCTGGGCAACATAGTGAGACCTTCATCTCTATTTTTATTAATAAATAAAATACAGTTCTAAAGATTTACCCTGGAAAAAAATGCATGCAGGTGTACATCAGGAGGTGCATATATATAATTCTTACATAATGGCCCAAATTAGAATATATCCCACTGCCCACTACCAGGAGAATTATAAACTGTAATACAGTCTTAGCACCTAAAGTATAAAATTGCTGATATTCCACTTTTTTTAACCTTAAAAAAAGGGCCGGGCTCGGTGGCTCAGCCTGTAATCCTGCGCCTTTGAGAGGCTGAGGTGAGTGGATTGCCTGAGCCTGCGGGTTCGAGACCCGCCTGGGCAGCAGACCTCATCTCTAAAATAATTCAAA